TCTTTCTTTCTTTCTTTCTTTCTTTCTTTCTTTCTTTCTTTCTTTCTGTCCCTTCCTTCCACCCCCCTCTTTCTCTGTCTATCATTTTTCTTCCTTCCTCTTTCCCTTTTTTTCCCTTTTCTTTCTTGTCTCTTCCTTCTCTTTCCCTTTCTCTCCCTCTCCCTCTTTCTCTTTCCCTCTTTCTCTCTCTCCCCTCTCTCTTTCCCTCTCTTTCTCTCTGTTTCCCTCTTTCTCTCTCTTTCCCTCTGTTTCTCTCTCTTTCCCTCTCTCTTCCCTCTCTCTCTCTCTCTTTCTCTTTCTCTCTCTTTCTCTCTCTTTCTCTCCCTCTCTCTCTTTCTCTGTCTTCCCCCCCCTCTCCCCTTTCTCCTTCCCTCCCTCCCTCTAAATCTGGGAGACCCACCTGAAACACACACACACACACACACACCCTTCCAACATGCTCGTTAACTTACTTCCTGGCCAGTCTCCCAGAGTCCCAGGGACTGGGTGCGATTGTCCATTCACACCCGGTCCCGCGTTGCCCGGAAAAGCTGGCAGGCAAGGTTTCAGGTCAAACAAAGGAGCTGCGGGCAGGACTCCTTCCCCTCCCTGTTTTGGGGAAAGGAAAGAGCTGGAAACTTCAAGGGCCCATCCCTCCAGTAGCTTTGGACTAGGCTGCAAAACTTACCTTCCTCCTGCGGCTGGTGGCAGAGGGATAGGTGAGCCAGCCAGGGCAGAGCCGTCGCCACTCGGCTCCCAGCCAGCCTGCATCTCATCCCCTGCTTGGATTCTCCACAGCTACTGGGGCTAACGGCTGCTGGAGGAATGCGGGAGGCAACCAGGAAGCACGAGGCTTATGCCGCCCACATCGCCCCTCTGCCAGCCACCCCTCCCTCGGGCCGAGTGTTTTAGCCAAGTGCGGGCCACCGCTATGCAAGCTCCATGGGCTGGAAGATCCGCTCTCATGAGGCTTGACTTGCATCATTCTCACAGTGGCGGCCCGCATTCAGCCAAAGCGCACAGGCCAGCAGGCAGCAGAGGGAAGGGGCAGCAGGCAAGGGGCGATGTGTGAGCTTCATGCTCCCTGGTCTCCCCCATCCGCCCCTAGCAGGCAAGGCCCAACAGCTGTGGAGAATCCAGGCGAGACCCAAGCGGTGACGGGTCAGCCCTGGCTTGCCTTCCTCTCGGCTACCAACAAGCCAGGCAAGTGGGGTGGGGGAAGCTTGCTAGACACGAGCATTGAGGGCAGCGGCAGCATGGCAGTGACAACCTAGTCAGGACTCAACCAGGGCTTGTGGCAGTGGTGGCAGCAAGGGTGACCATGGTGGCGGTGGCACAGCGGTGGTGGCTTAGGCCGGCCCAGGAGTCAGGACTCAACTGGGGCTGGCGGCAGCAGCAGCATGTAGGCGACCGGGGTTTGCAGAGCCTCACTGACCTAGGGAGATCAGAAGGTGGAAGGTAGGTAGCGATGGCTGGATGGCTGCTGCTGTTGGAAGCTATGGCGGCGGGCGGGAAAATGTGGGAAGCAATGTAGCACACATGTGCTATAAGGAGTGACTGGGCAGGGTGGGCAGGGGGAGAATGCTGTCAGCAATTGTCGCGCATGCACGCGACGTTGCGCATGTGCAATAAGGACTTACTGGGCAGGGAATGGAGGAGCGGGCAGAGAGGGGCAGGGCCAGCCAGGGGCCTGTTTTACCAGTTCTCCGGACTACCGGGAATGGTAATAACCAAACTGGTGTGAACCGGTAGAATACCACCCCTGGACACAGTTTGAATAACTCTGTGTAATGAAACCTTTTTAGTATAATTTGTAAGGTAGAGTTTCAGTTGTTATTGTTAAGTATGGCAGGCTAGATGTTCATAATAACTGAAGATATTTCAGACACTAAATTGCTATTGAAGACAAAAAGTGAAACAGGATGAGATACTGAAGCTAAGGTAAATGGTTTTATTTAAAAAGCAACAGTGTTTAGTCCTCCACTCATTTCTTCCTAATAAAATATCATTTTATTCCTTAACTGTGGATATATGCTTTGCTTTTCTGTTAGAACTACCTGAATGAAGCAGAAGAGGATATGGATGACATTATAGCCTCTGGCTTTTCAAAAAGGCAAAGTAATTTGGCAAGTGGATTTTCCACAGTAAGTACCCATTAAATACATATGCATGACTTTCTTGTACTGTTTTTTCCTACAGCAAATTATTTTTGATACTTGGACCATATACCTATTTGATTCTGTTGTGTTTCATTCACAGCTGATTTTTAGCTTCAGGTCTTTTGTTTTAGAGTAGATTAAATTCCATTGCCATTATGTAGATTTTAGAGACTTTAATTTTTGTTCAACAAAAGCATGAATGATTGTAGGTTTTGCTAGCTTCTAACAAACATAGAATGTTGGCAGCTTAGAGGAACCAGGGCAGCTGATACAACTATTATGCTTACTGCACTTAGTTTGATGGATGCAAGGATACAGCCAATAGTTACAAATATACTGTAACTACTTTTTGCTTCTTTATTTATAACTGGGGTGTCAGCATTCCAGAAAACCTCCACTCCAACAAATAACTCCGAGACAGACATCTTCTCAAAAGTTCTTTTTTTATTTGGATAGTAACAACTGGGGAATCCTGAATCTGAAAGTTCCGGGCTCCCTTGCAATAAGTAAAAACTACAAATCACCTGCACCCATCATCACATCACATGCCCCAATCACCATCCATCCCAACTTGAGACTTCCCCTCACTTACGTGCAAACTAACATGACCTTGAATTAGAAAAAGAATGTTATTATGTCTAACTACATATACTCCAAGAAATTCCCCCCTCCCATTTTCCCAGGCTTAAAATGTGGCAGTGTGGGAGCATCTGGTCTCAGTATGGCTTTCAAAGCTGACAGGCATCGCCCCTTGAAAAAAATCACGTCCTGAAAAATACAATAAACAAAACACAAGGTGTTAACACATTGCCCTTAACCCCCTCTCCAAGGGGACCCTTTGGCCAAGGGTCAAGGGCACCCTTTGGCTTGTCAGGGAATTGTTCATGAAATTGTCTAATCATGTATATCCCAACTTTTCACCCAAGTAGCTTCTGACAAAGGGTAGCCTTTCCATAGCACTAAATATTGTAATCGTTCTCAGTGTAATCTAGAATCAAGAATTTTCTTTATCTCAGAATGTGTTTCACCCTGTACTACCAGAGGTTTGGGGGGAGCTGCTGGTACAGGCCGTAGATTGGAACCAATAGCAGGCTTCAACCAGCTACTATGGAATACTGGGTGTATTTTTCCTAACAGCCGAGGGAGACTAAGTTGGACAGTCACTGCATTGATTACTTTCGATATAGGGAATGGACTCAGTAATTTTGGTCCCAACTTTCTACTAGGAAGTTTCAACTTAAGATATTTAGTTGACAAAAACACTTTGTCCCCTACTTTAAAAGGTGGTTGGAGACATCTATGTTTGTCTGCCTATGTTTATATTCCTCAGTTGCTTCTGCTAGAGGTAAAAGTGCTGCTTTCAAATTGGTTGTCAGTTTGTCCTCTAGAAATCTAGGGCTGTGTTTGGCTTGGACTCTAGTGGTTGCTTGGCCGACAGGTTGGGCTTCTGATATCATAATTTGCACTACTACCGACGACTGTCAAATTGGGGTTTTCTCGACAAGGAATCTGCCAATACGTTTCCCCCCCTTGGAAAAAACCCTCGGAATCTTTCTCCTAAACAAGTAATATATTTTCATGTTAAAGTTGAATCTCTTGAAGTATCGACTTGTTTAGGAGAAAGCTTCCGAGGGATCTTCAGAGCCTCGAGGTTTTTATGATCAGTTCACACCTTGAAAGCCTCCTTTACTCCTTCCAGGAAATGCCTCCAAGGTAGTAATGCCCATCACACAGCAAATGCCTCTTTTTCCCAAACTGCCCACCTATGCTCTGTGTCTGTCAACTTTTTTGACACATAAGCTCAAGGCATCAGCTGGTCTTGAGAATTCTTTTGAAGTAGAATCGCCGTGACAGCCACACCACTGGCATTGGCTTGGACTACAAAAGGTTTGGTCGGGTCCAGATGCTGGAGGATAGGCTCCGTGGCAAAAAGGCATTTTAATGTCTCAAAAGATTTCTGATTCATTGTCCAAGTGAGAGGTTGATTGGGTTTTGGTTTGGTCGGGGAAAGCCCAGTTTTTAGTAACTCTGTTAAAGAGAAGGTGACCTCAGCAAATGAAGGGATGAATTGTCTATAAAAATTTGCAAAACCCAGGAAGCTTTGAAGTTGTATGCATGTTTTGGTGGCTGCCAGTCTAGCACTGCCTTCACCTTTCCAGGGTCTATTTCAATCCCCTGATTTGACACTCGGTAGCTCAGGTAGTCCAAAGACTTTTATGGAATTCGTATTTTGACAGATTTGCATATAATTTGGTGGCTAAAAGTTTTTTCAGTACTTGCCTGACTAATTTGACATGTTCTTCTATGGTTTCACTGAATATAAGAATGTTGCCCAAGTACACAAGGACCCCCTTGAACAGATGTGTATGTAACACTTCTTTGACTAGTTGCATAAATACAGCGGGGTGGGGGCTTGGAGTCCGAAAGGCATGACTCAGAACTGGAAACTTCCCAGAAGGCAGTTGAAGGCTGTTTTCCACTCGTCTCTCTCCTTTATGTGGACTCAGTAGTAGACCTCTCTCAGATCTAGCTTGGTAAAGATTTTGCCTTTAGACAGGTGATTTAGCAAGTCCTTCATTGGGGGAGGAGATACCTTGTTTTTTATGCATACACCATTGATGCCCCTAAAGTCAAGACATAATCTCAAGTCGCCATCTTTCTTTTCTTTAAATAGTACTGGGGCTGCCAACGTAGATTTTGCTGGTTCAATGAAGCCTCTGGCTAAATTGGTATCAATGTATTTCCTCAACTCAGTCATCTCGGCTGGTGTCATGGAATACCTTTTTGGTTTGGGCAGTTTGCCCCAGATTCTAATTCGATGGCACGACTAGGGAATCCCGAATCTGAACATTCTGGGCTTCCTTGCAATAAATAAAAACTACAAATCCAACCCGTGGACCCATCATTACATCACATGCCCCAATTACCATCTGTCCCAACTTGAGACTTCCCCTCTCTTATGCGCAAACTAACATGACCTTGAATTAGAAAAATAATGTTATTATGTCTAACTACATGTACTCCAAGAAATTCCTCCCTCCTATTTTCCTAGGCTCAAAATGTGGCAGTGTGGGAGCATCTGGTCTCAGTATGGCTTCCAAAGCTGACGGGGATTACAAGATGTTTCAGTTATGTTATTGAAGAATTAGTCCAATATTTCAGGAAGGCATTAGTTCATCAAGGTGATGAAAGCAGGACCCAATCATTATTTTCATTTTGTGCTAGAAAGAAGATTGTACACTTCACATATTAAAGCAAATAATAGTTTAACATTTAAGGTAGCACTATTATGGTCATTCTCATTATTATTAGATAAATATATCTCCTTTATTTTGTAAAACTCAAAGCAGTGTATATAGTTCTCCTGCTTCCTCTTTCCCTCACAATAGCCACCTATGAAGTTGGTTAGATTGAGAAAGTCCAGTCCGAAGTCACATAACTAGTTTTCATGCTTCTGAAGACTAAAATTCAATTCCCCGCCTTCCAGTCAAGTACCTTAACTGTTACATCAAACTGTGGATAATTTCACTTGATGCTTTGCAAGTAAATTATTTGTTGGCAACTAGCAGGTAGTTTAATTGCTATAGTAATTATGGCATTTAAGTATCTTGTATTCTAAGGGATTTTAAATGATTGATTAAAATGATTGATTAAAATACATTAACTACAAAGTGCTTGTATGTAGGCAGATAGACATCTGCCTTGTGATAACAAAATGTTTTTATCCAAATATTTCTATAATATTACAAAACGAAAATGAGTGCTCAGCCTAAGGTTAAATTCATCATTGGAGAGATAACATAATTTCTCGTATGTCTATGTCTGTAAATGTGAGTTATTTACTGATCACTTTTTTCCATACAATGGTTGGTTGTTGTATTTCTACGTGTCTTTTCTTTATCCATTTTCACCTATTGGTACTACATAATGTTCTTCTTTCCTCTGCCTTTTGCCTCCCTCATAAAGAATTCTCCTTCAAATTCTGAGAGGAAATGGAACTATTTAAATGTTCCAGAAGCAGATGGTGATACTGTAAGTTCTCTCACTTTTCTGACACATGCAAGAGCTCATCTCTGTTCCTGTTTCATTTCTACATATATAAATAGCAAAAATAAATATTTATTAATTGATAATAATTCCTCCATTAAGTCACTGGCTAACAATAACAGCATCATATCCTTAAAAGTGAGAATTGCTATTTTGTAATAGAATCTTTTTAAATATGGAGAAATTTAAAACAATTAATCCCTTTTAATAATTTGAACAATACAGCCAAAAGATGAACAGAGGTAGATGCAAGGATTTCATATTGACTCATCAGTACCTACATTACATGGCTATATATGGAGAAGTAATTTTTCTATCCATTCAGATTATTTGAATGGAGGATAACATAGAATCATACTACCCTTTCCTACTAGGCACAAATGACACAAAAAAGGACTTGAAAACAATATTGAGTGATTATGAGCAGCTAGGCAAGAAAGTCAAGGACTTAGATGCACAAGTAGCTTTTTCATCCATACTGCCAATGAAAGGACAACATCTGGTAAGAGAACAGAAAATACTAGAAGTGAACCACTGGCTTAAAGGGTTAGTGTCATCAAAAAAACTTTGGATTCCTGGACCATGGTGTGTACTGTCTCCATGATGGGCTTCTGACAAGGGATGGCTTGCACCTCACAAAGACTGGGAAGAATGTTTTTGGAAAATGACTGGCTCAACTAATCAGGAGGGCTTTAAACTAAAATTGAGGTGGGAGGGTGACCAATCTTAGGATCTCCAGGACCTAATTCCAAGCAAAAACCCCTAGAAAGCAAGTCAAATAATGAAGTAAAGAGGGATGGGAAGGAAAACAAACTCAAACACCAAATAGGAGACATAGGAAGCATACCCAGAGTCAAACATAAAGATCTCAAGTGCCTATACACAAATGCACAAAGTCTGGGGAACAAACAGGGTAAACTTGATCTATTAATACATGAAGGTAGATATGATATAGTTGGAATAACAGAAACTTGGTGGGATGCAACCCATGACTGGAACACACTATTAGAAGGATATAAACTGTTTTTAAAAACCCCATAAAAGAGGAGATAGATTTGCACTGTATGTAAAGGACCACTATATTGGTACAGAAATGCATGAAACCAAAGATTAAAACCACCTAGAATGCATATAGGTTCATATAAAAGGGAAAAAAAGAATGACATAGCCATAGGTGTATATTATCGGCCACCCAATCAAGCAGAAAAAATAGATGTTTGTTTGGCCAACCAACTAACAAACATATGTAAGAAACACACTACAATAGTAATGGGGGACTTCAATTACTCTGATATCAATTGGAAAAAGAGAAATCAAATAGGTTCCTAACCAACATAGCTGGCAACTTTGTTGTTCAAAAGTAGAGGATGGAACTAGAGGGACAGCTATACTGAACTTAATTCTTACAAACAGGGATAAAGTGATAGAGGGAGTTGAAACTGCAGGAACCTTGGGTGAGAGAGACTATGTCATACTAGAATTCAATATAACACAAACACAAGCAATAGAACATAATGACATCAGACTCAGATTTTAAAGGAGCTGATTTTAATAAACTCAGAGAGAACTTGGGAAAGATTCCTTGGATGAAAATCTTAAAGGGGACAACAACTCAGGAATCTTGGGAAACTCTGAAAAGTACAATCATAGAAGCTCAGACCAGCACAATACCACTGAGAAAGAAAAACAAGAAATCCAAGAAGAAGCGAGCATGGCTCCACAAAGATCTCTCTGAACAATTGAAAGAAAAAAAGGACAAGTACAAAAAATGGAAAGAGTGACATACAACTAATGCAGATTATCAGCAGATAGCCAGAATCTACAAAGATGAAGTCAGGAAAGCAAAGGCTCAGAATGAACAAAGACTTGTCAAAGATAATAAAGTGTCTTCCACCATATAAATAACAAGAAAGAAATCAAGGAAACAGTTGGTCCACTAAAGAGAGAAGACAGCAAGGAAGTAACAAACAACAGAGAGAAAGCAGAGCTGCTTAACTCATTCTTTGCATCAGTCTTCAGGCAAAAAGAAACTATAGCCCAACCTACCAAAAACATAATTCTAAAAGACAGACTAGAAATAAAAGTTAAAATAAGCAAAAAATTAGTCAGAGAACACCTGTCTGATCTTAATGAATACAAATCACCAGGACCTGATGGATTACATCCCAGAATTTTAAAGAAGCTGGCATAGGTCATCTCAGAACCACTACACCACATCTTTCAAAAATCGTGGAGCACCAGGAAACTACCGGAGGACTGGAAAAGAGCTGATGTGGTTCCCATCTTCAAAAAAGGGAAAAAAAACAGACCCAGGAAACTATAGACCAATCAGCCTAACATCAATACCCGGGAAGATACTGGAAAAGACAATAATAAAGAAAACCAGATCTGCCAACATCTAGAAACAAGTAAAGTAATAACTAGCAGTCAGCACGGGTTTGTTAAAAACAGATCATGCCAAACCAATTTTATTTCATTCTTCAACATAGACTAAATTAGTAGACCAGCAAAATACTGTGGACATAATATACAGATTTCAGCAAGACATTCAACAAAGTAGACCACAGCCTACTTCTTGGTAAGCTAGAAAAAAGTGGGATAGATAGCACCACCACCAGATGGATTCGCAACTAGCTGACAAACCGTACTCAATGAGTAGTCCTTAATTGGTCTAAGTCTACATGGTGGGAAGTAAGCAGTCAGGTGCCACAAGGTTCTGTTTAGGCCCAGTAATCTTCAATGTTGATGACTTAGATGAGGGAATAGAAGGGGAACTTACCAAATTTGCAGATGATACTAAGCTGGCAGGAATAGCTTACACCCAAGAAAATAGGCTCAAGATCCAGATGGACCTTGACAGATTAGAACATTGGGCCATATCTAACAAAATGAAATTCTGTGTAGAGAAAAGTAAAGTCGTATACTTAGGCAAGAAAATCCAAAAGTACACATATAGACTGAGTGAAACTGTGAGAGGGATCTTGGAGTCTTAGTGGACAACCAGCTAAATATGAGCAAGCAGTGCGCAGCAGCAGCCACAAAAGCTGGGATTCTGCCAGTTCTGACCGGTTTGGGCGAACTGATAGCGACAATACAGAAAAATCATGTATTTCTTTATTTATATTCCATCATTATTTTTATCAATTCAAAGCAGCAAACATTCCAAATATCCCTCCTTCTCCTCCTATTTTCCCCACCACAGTCCTGTGAGATAGGCTGGGCTGAGAGAAGGAATGACTGACCCAAAATTAGCCAGTTAGTTGTTAACTCACTGAGCCATTTCTGAAATTTCCTGCAATGTGAAAAAGAGAGCTATCTGCAGTCAATGCTTTGTTTAGAAGTGCGTCTCCCTGTCTTGAAAAAGCAGAAAAATTATAAGTGTAATTATAAGACTGTGCTTTGTTATGGTGGACAGGAATGCATTTGTCTGCAATTCTTTAAAAAAATATGGCCTTTTCTGGGGAAAGGCTCATGCATAAATTTAGGCCAAAGGAATCCTGATCAAAGCCCCCTCACCCCCTTGTCGAAAGCCTGCTGGGACAGTCACAAATGGCAATCACACGACCCCAGGACAGTGCAAGGGTGATAAATACATGCCAATTGCCAAACAGCCAAATTTTGAGCATGTGAGCGTGAGGATGCTGCAATGGGCATAAATTTGAGGACCGGTTGTAAGTGCAAGGACCGGTCATAATTCACTTTTTTCAGCCCTCTGAGTAATCCCCATAGTCCCTATGTGCATAGGGACTACTCAGAGGGCTGAAAAAAGTGAATTATGACCGGTCCTTGCACTTATGACTGGTCCTTGCACTTATGATTGGTCCTCACATTTTACGTTTTACAACCTATCTTGTCACCATGGTAAAGTGAAGCAACACAGTTGCGAAATTAATGACATGGTTGTTAAGAATGCTGCAACAAGCATAAATGCAAGGATCGATCATAAGTGTGAGTTAAATGAGGCATTGCAGATTTCATGGTGATGACAGTGGCCATTGAAGAGAGATTTGCGGTACAATTAGAGCTGTTTTAGGTATGTTAAGAAGGTGGGGCCAGGGACTGTATGTCGAGTTGGCCACCCCCACCCAGTTACATGACCATCTACCCACACCCACCCAGTCACATGACCACCTAGCCCAAAGAACCAGTAGTAAAAAAATTTGAATCCCACCCCTGAAAAAAGTTAATGCAATCCTAAGTTGCATTAATAGAGGGATATAATCAAGATCAGGTGAGGTACTAATACTACTCTATAAATCCTTCATAAAACCACACCTAGAGTACTGCATCCAGTTTTGGTCACTACACTATAAAAAAGATGTTGAGGCTCTAGAAAAAGTGCAGAGAAGAGCAACCAGGATGATTAGGGGACTTGAGACAAAAACATATGAAAGAATGGTTACAGGAACTGGGCATGGCTAGTCTAGTGAAGAGAAGGATCGGGGAGACATGATAGCAGTGTTCCAATATTTGAGGGGCTGCCAGAGAGAGGAAGGGGTCAAGCTATTTTCTAAAGCACCTGTAGGCCAGATAAGGAATAATGGATGGAAACTGAACAAGGAGAGATTTAACCTGGGAACAAGGAGAAACTTTCTGACAGTGAGAACAATCAACCAATGGAACAGCTTGCCTTCAGAAGTTGTGGGAGAGGCTCCTGCTTAGGCGGAGGGTTGTACTAGATGACCTACAAGGTCCCTTCCAACTCTGATTATCTGTGAAAAACATAAGTAAATTATTTTGGAGTTAAAATATTAAACTAGGTGCTGAAGTCTCCATTCAAGGGTTTACCAGATGAGTTTAGGATAATCTCTGAGCTTAATTTTACAGATGTGCATGTACATGAGAACTGAGTAAGACAACTTTGAGCTATTTGAACAAGTAAAATAAAATAGGTATGTTTCTTCAATGGGATATTGAGATTGAATTTTGCCATCAACCAATTTTGTCACCCTCTCTTTTTCAGACCAGCATTAACAGTATGATGAGTGTTTACAGTGAAACTGGGGACTATGGAAACGTGAATGTTAGTGGTGAAATTTGTCTGCAAATCAGCTACAACTATAAAACAGGAGGTCTTAACATACTTGTAAAAAAATGCAAGAACTTGGCCATTGCTGATGAAAAGAAACAAAGAACAGATCCGTAAGCAAATCTTTCTCTTTTTTTTTTTTTACTAACCTTCTATTTATTTACTATTCTAGTTATGTTTGCTAGTTAGATTTGTCTTCCACAGATCTACCATTTAGTACAGTACAATATCATACACTCACATTTGGTTTGGAGTTTGCAAAAAGTGAAAGACATGTGACTTTCTCCCATGTTCTTATTGAAGTTTACTTTAAACGAGATAAGAGCTATATCATTTTTTAATCCTTGAAAACTTTGAGAAGCAGTTGCTGAAGCAGTTGCTTCAGTTGGTGAAATCTAGAATCTAGAATTGGCTCAGTGAGATGGGCCGCATAAAAGTTTAATAATAAATCAGTCAATCTGGAGATGGTGAACTGATATGAATATTTTTCCAGTTTGATAACTTCAGTGCTACACTACCTGGGAGAAGAGACTTAATTTTGGTGAAATGAAAAACCCATGTTTACCACTAAATGCCTTGTGCTAGTATCCTCCTCTTTTCTTATCCTAAAGACTTTCCAATTAGAAAATGCAAATTTAAGTTCTGATTGTCAACTGTTTTCAGAGTTTTGCAGCGTAAATTTAGCTCCAGAAAAATAAACACAGATAGCTGAGGCTTCATTTAACTTCTTTATAAATACATGAAGTAAATTTTACAAACCAGTTGTAGATTTCTCCAACATAGAGCAAACTCAAACATAAGTAGACATGTTACAAGTCCAGAGCTTCAGCAGAAATTCAGGTGCTCAGAAACAGACATCAGTTTCACTTTAGTTCAGCAGGCAAACAAGATATACAGCAGAGGAGAGAAGCAGTTTCATTTCAATAAACAGACTTAGAACTTAACATAGCTTCAGAGCTGCAGAGCTTAATATAGAGCCACGCCTAGGGTACTTCCAGTTTCAATTTCCAATCAGTCCTCATTGGCTGACTTAGTTGCTATGCCTATTCATTGGCTGACCTTGTTACCATGCTCTATTCCAGTTCATGAATATACTCTGACAAACTGACCATAATTCTCTACAATTTTGTTCTGGCATGTGTAGTGTGATTCAGTAACAATAAAAAAGAACCAGAGTGGAGCAATTGTTTTCTTCCTTTGTTTTTCTCTACAATTATAACTGTAAAAACAATCAATTTAAGGAAGAAGCTGAATTTTTCTGTCTTCTCCTGCCCCAAAAAGTGAATGATGGGGGAAATGAGAGTATTTTAGCTTTTCTTCCATATTCTCTTGCAAATAATAGAAGGCTCTTCAATAAAAGATTTCTCTCAGTGCACTAAGACTGGAGAATGAAAGAAAAATTCATAGCAATATTTTGTGGTGTTCTTGTTTCCTTCCTTCCTTGTTTTCTATAAGTGAAAGTAATTCTGGGTACACTGAAGCCTCTTGTACCTGCCTAAGTAGGTACAAATGGTAGGAAGGAATGAGAATAAGGAATAAAAGGCTGAATAGTAAGGCAGGAATTTCCCACAAGTCCTAATCCCGCCAGTGGTGGGATTCAAATTCTTTTTACTACTGGTTCTGTGAGCATGGCTTGGTGGGCGTGGCAGGGGAAGGATACTGTAAAATCTCCATTCCCACCCCACTCCAGGGGACGGATACTGTAAAATCCCATTCCTTCCCCACTCCTGGGAAAAGGTTACTGCTAAATCCCATTCCCTCCCCATCCCACTAACCTGCTTTCCAGCTCCATTTTCCTGTGCAGGGCAACAAACGAAGACCCAGCTGATCAACTGGGACTCGGGAGGCAGAGAATAAATGGGGGTGGTGCCAGTCAACAGTGGTATTTGCCTGTTCTCTGAACTGCTCAAAATTTCCGCTACGAGTTCTCCAGAACTAGTCAAAACCTGGTGAATACCACTTCTGGTTCCAGCCATTATATATATAATCTACCCACAAATATATATTTATTTGAATTGTATATATTTCCAATATATCTCTTGCTACATAAAATAAACAAAAAACATATGATGTATGACAACACATGAGAGAGCAAATAAAGCTAAAGTATAACCTTTTTGATGTCTCTGATTTAATTTTGACAGTGTTATACATAATAATTTTCTGTATTTGGACATCTACATGTTTGTATACCAATGTTGTAACTTTTAGCAAAATTGATAAATCATCTATTATTTATTCTGCAGTTATGTCAAAGCATATCTTCTGCCAGACAAGTCTCGCCAGAGCAAAAGAAAGACAAAAATCAAAACTAATAGCACTGATCCAGAATTCAATGAAATGCTTAAGGTAAGGTAGGAACTGGGACAATACTATATTTATTAATATTTTCTTTATGGTCAAAATAAGAAATTAATGGCTGGCTAGCTGGCTGGTTTAAATTATTATATGCTTCATAGTACCTTCATGGTAAATATGTCCTTGAGTTGAGCTGTGTTTCTGATGACTCTCTGGACATGTCCAACTAGTTTTTGGGTTGTGCTTGATTTGCTCCTACTTTCCTCAGGGATGTTTTCAACTTCCCATTCTAGTCTTCAACCCTGAACTTCCTCGATATCACCCATCCATGTGTTATGTGGCTATGCAAAGTCCTCTTTGCATAGATATTTTTGAATTTATTGTTTCATCAAAATCTACCCTTCCGTATTTGTATCATCCACAAAATCCTATGTCATCCAGTTCCATCATCTCAGTCACTGATAAACAATTTGAATTGCATATGGTGAAAAATAATCACTGTGGTATTTCACTTGATACTTTTCTCCAAGATGAAATGAGATTGTTCAGACAATCTAATAGTAGTATCTTCTACTCCATATTTTCCATTATTTATTTATTTTAAATGTTTGTGTCATCCAATTCCAAAAAAAACTGTGGATGGTCTCTTTATTAAGAAAAATATGTATCATGTCAAAGTCTTTGCTGACAACCTGAGAACATTCCAGATCTACTGAGCTGCAGTTCTATTATTGAAGAAGGAAACATGGTTCATTGGCGCAATTTCTTTGCAACAAAACCACACTGGCTCCTGCTAATTGCAGTATGCAAATCCAAGTGCTCACAGACATGTTCCTTTATAATTTGTTTGAGGACCTTGCCTAATGTAGACTAAGTTGGCACTCTCATGCACTTCCTGGGCATTTACTTCCCATTTATTTATTTAAAGGAGAATATTTGTAGCTCAGGGTTGAAATGAAGAGTTCTTGAGCTCAGAGAGCACGAAGGACTCCTCATTTATTTATTTACTTTGTTTTTTTTTAAAGGTTTTTCAATTATATGATTCAAGAAAGAGAAAAAAATGTGAAATTTGCTTGTGGAATTTAAAGAACAACTTTCTTAATAAAAATACTTCTATCATTTTTGGAGAATCTAGTATCACCAGTTCATTTTCTTTCTATTTTAATTATGAGTAATGTTTATCTTAATGAGTAATATCTATTTTAATGAGTAAAATCAATGTGCATATAGGAGGAGATGGAAGGACTATAGTTTAAGACGTGTAAACAAGTTTTCTGGAGAATAATTATATTTTATGCATTTCCCCTTCATAATTTGAATTGCACTAGTAGGAAGGGAAAATATTGCATCATTTATTATCTGTTAATACCTTTGGATATACTTAGAAGTTCCATACTCTCATTTGCTGGTTCCTAAAAATATTTTCCTTAAAAATATGCTTCTTTTCTATCCTCACTCAACAGTATGTCATTAGCCACACGCAGCTTGAGACTCGGACTCTGCAACTTTCTGTCTGGCATTATGACAGATTTGGGCATAACAGCTTTCTGGGAGAAGTAGAGATTCCCTTGGACTCCTGGAACTTTGAAAATCAAATTGATGAATGGTTCATGCTTCAGCCCAAGGTGAGAAGGTCCTGTTGGTTTAGAGAAGTGGCATGCAAATTTATGAAGAAGTTGGAATTCATGGAACAAAGTGAATTGACAACAATCTAGCCTTTTTTTTTTTTGCACTAGACAGCATTTTGTTTGTAAACAGCAAGCTGTATGAATAGGGCGGGGGTGGGGAGGAATCACTTCATTTGCTTTGTGAAGTTGAAAGCAACTTAGCTGAAAGATGGCTCCACTGTATATAGTGTTCTTTGAATTTTGAAATTAAAGCCATCACAACAATAAAACTACTGAGGAAGTATTGTTATGTCCCACAAAGGCTGTATTGCAAGTGGCTCTCAAACTACAGATGCCAATGTTTTCCTGTAGCTTGAACAGATCGGTTGTTCCTGTCCAACAAATTGCAAGTTTTATCATTCCATTTGCAATCTAATATGTGAAATCTGTTCTTTTTACCTTCTGTGCTTCTGTAGTTCAAAAGGAATGGATTATTCCTGTAACACATATTTTAGTCTGCTACTGTTGACAAAGGCATTTACATGGCAAGAAAAGTATATCTATTTTGAGGGATGACCTCTAACTCACTTATCACTCTCCTCCAGATATTGTGAAAGGAAAATTGCACTAATTACTCATCATTACTCATGCTGGCTGAGATTAAGAGGAAATGGAAGGCAATTTATTGCCCATCTTTGATTTACAAGATAGTACAAAAATTTAAAAAAAATATTCTTAACTTTCAGAATTACTTTGTGATTTGTCACAACAATCCTAACAATTTTTAGCACCTAGATTCATGAAGAATTTTGGCCACTCAAGCCAGATAAATGCCATAGTTAGTTATATGAGTTACATCTGTTTCTTGAAACATCTGGTCTTCTCCAAACATATGTGGCTCCATGTGGTTGTGGCTGCATTTTTAAAAAACTTGATATCATTGTAAATTTAATTGTTCTAATATATATTCATCTTTGTTCCTTTTCTTGTTTTCCTCCCCACCCTAATGCTTGAGTTATTTCTGATTTATCTTGTTTTGTTGATTTTGAAAATACGTTAATGTGATAAATTTGATAGAAAAACAGAGGAACAGCAAAGCCATCCTGATATTATTGAAGTCTGCATACAGCTTAGAGTTAAGTGAGAATAGTAGTGAAAAGGTATACTATCAATTATGTAAATAACAGAACAATGCTGAGTATCACAGACCCATTAGTTCCCATTCCTATCCTTATTAAAGAACTAGCAGTGGTTTTGCAGGAAAGTTCCCACTTTTACAATGATCTAAACCAGGGGTCTCAAACACAATTTACCTGGGGGCCGCTGGAGGCAGAGTCTGGGTGAGGCTGGGCCGCATAATATTATACTTTATATTATACTTTATATTTATATTATACACTAATATTATACTTTCATATCACGGTGGGGGCCACAGGATATCATCCTGCGGGCCGCAATTGGCCCGCGGGCCGCGAGAATGAGACCTCTGATCTAAACTCTTTATTAAATTAAACTAGCATTCCTAAGGCCACCTAACGAAGAAAGCCTGTCTTAGAAGCACCCACATGTTGTAGGGGGAAAGTTGGTTACTTTTATTCTCTACCTTCAGCTAGTAGACAAACAGATGGCATGTGCTGGACAGATTGGAAGAAGCTTTGAGATGGTTGAAGCTGTCTTAAGAGAGAGACAGAAACATCTAAGAATTGGGCGTTTTGTTATATATTTTATGTAATATGTTATGGATATATCACAAATATTAGCTATGAATATAGAAGGCCTACATATAAAATGTATATAATATGAACTTTTTATGAACTTCTGTTATACAACCATAGTTAGCCTTTTTCATGAACTTCCTAGGAAATTCACATTGCTGGAATTTATGTACAGTAACATGTATGTTACCAATGAGAGATTCTGGGTGCATGTATGACTAATTTATTGTTGGTGGTATCAGGGGTATTAGGGGGCATAAGGAAAGCAATGGGAGTCTTGAAACAAACAGTGAGGGTGGAAAATTCCTGATGTGGTTGGGGCAAGATCAGAGGTGGGATTCAAACTTTTTTTACAGTTCTGTGGGCATGGCTGGGTGGTCATGTGACTGGGTGGGTGTGGCTGGGTCATGTGACTGGGTGGGTGTCAGATAGTGCCACCAGAATTGCCGTTTGACCAAATGTAAGGTTTTCACGAATCTGAAATGTCCAGCAGGTTTTGAATCGTGGGCTTGCTTTAAAATGGGCCTTCTCAGGTTAGCTGGTACATATAATTTGGCCCCCACCCATGCCAGACCATCTCTAATCATACAGTCATTTGAGTGGGTCAGGAACCAATCATCTAGTTTTAGAGCTTCCTTTAACTGTGAGGTCAAGTCCTTGGAAAGATTGACATCTCCCTTTTACTGGGCTCTAGTAACCATTGGAACCACCAAATGCCTAGTCAGGACAATAGGACGGATCATTTCTGGCCAGATACTTTTATATTAGGGTAACCTAGATAACGCATCCGCCATAAAATTCCCCCCCCCCTTCATTAAACCATGTAAAGTATTGTGCTCAGCGGACTTGCTTAGGTGACAATTTTTGAGGTGTTTTTAGATACTCCAAGTTTTTATGATCCGTCCACACCTCAAAGGGGTGTTTTGCCCCTCAAGAAAATGCCTCCAGGTTAATAAAGCCCAATGGACAACAAAAGCTTCCTTTTCCCAAATAGCCCATCTTCTTTCTTTCTCAGTTAGTTTACAGGAGGGGTAAGCACAAGGTTTCAAAGTTCCAGTCTTGTTTGCTTGCAGTAGCACTGCCCCCACTGCCTCACTTACATCGGCTTGGATCACGAAAGGGGCGTCCATCTCTGGGTGTTTTAGGACCGGTTCGGCGCAGAGAGTCATTTTAGCTTTTCAAAATCCGCTTGGCATTCCATGGACCACTCCAACAGGTTGTGGTTTCAACTCTCCCTTCGTCTTTAGGAGGTTTGTAATAGGCAGTGCAATCTTTGAAAATGCTGGAATAAACTGACGGTAAAAATTAGCAAATCCCAGAAAACTTTGCAATTGCTTTGCGAGGAGAAGCCCATTCCAAAATGGCCCGGACTTTCTCCAGGTCCATTTCTATGCCATCGTGTGATATGCGGTAACCTAAATAGTCAATCTTCTCTTGATGAAATTCCACACGGACAATTTTGCGTATAGTTCGCCTGCTCGAAATTTTTTCAAAACTGACCATACTTGTCAGATGGTTCTCCATTCAAAATCCAAGAAAGAAATACTTAAACTCCATTAATTAGAGAAAAGATATCTTTTACTGGAAGTCAAGTGGTAGCAACAAAAGAATTCTGAATCTGAGAAAATGAGCACGTAAATCACATATACAAAGTGATGGCAACGTTCCCAACCCCCAATAGTTCAATTGGCTCATCCAATTAAAAGTTGTGTGGGCAACTCCAGGTGGTGATGAGGCCTCTGTCCTTGGGTCCAGCCTTGACATATTTTGATAAAGAGTTGCGGCTGTGCATAGCATAGGATAGACGCCTAAGCAAGAATCTCCCCCCCCAACTTATACAGTTCTGTTTTGTAACACCTCCAGCTCGCTTCCCATAACCATGTCCCCCCTCCTCCCCCCATTATTTATGACAGCCAAAAGATGCAAAGCAAAGGAAGAAAATCTTGAAGGCTGACATTACTAATTTCATGTGCTCCTCAAAAGTTTATTTGTAGATAAGTATATCATGAAGATAAACCAGCACCCATTTGTACAAATGTTCATGCAGAACCTCATTTATCAGTTGCATGAATACAGCAGGAGCCCCCTGCAGGCCAAATGGGAGAATGTTGAATTGAAAACATCCCAAAGGGCAATTGAAGGCCATTTTCCATTAATGCCTCTCCTTAATTTGAACTCGGTAGTAAGCTTCTCTCAAATCAAATTTAATGAAAATTTTCCCTTTGGCCAGGTGAGCCAACATCTCCTTCATTAAGGGAAGTAAGTACACATTCTCTACGCAAATCCCATTTAAATTTTGATAATCAACACAAACTAACAGAGCCATCTTTCTTTTCTCGGACTAACACTGGGGCCACCACTCGAGGCCTAGCAGGTTGTATGAAACCTCGTTCAAGGTTCTTATTGACAAACAACAGCAGTTCTTCTAGCTCTCACGGTGTCATCGAATACAATTTAAGCTTAGGGAGCTTCACCCCCGGCAGAATCTCGATACTGCAATCTGTTGGGCGATGAGGGGGGAGCTCATCTGGTGCCTTTTCATTAAAAACCTCTTTTAAGTCCTAATATTCTTCAGATATTTTTTTCCTCCCCCACCATGCTTTCGCTACCCATGGATGCCAACTCTGTGGAATTCTGTGATTTCATTTGAGACAGCTCCTCCCCTTCCAGTGGTTGGTCAGTGCGTATGCGCAATGACCCCTTCCTCCAATCCACTTGGGGATTCCACTTCCGGAGCCAGAGCTATTAGTAAGGGAGGGGTGTTTCATCCCAGGGTCAACAATAAAACACAAAGTCTCTTGATGTCTCCCCATCGTCATTTCCACTGGTTCCATTATGAAGTGCGCAGGGCCACCCTCAGCTACTGATCCATCTAGTTGGCAAAACGCTATGGGAGTTTTTAAAGTTAGTCTTAATCTCAACTTCTCTATGACTTCTGAGCTGATGACATATCTAGTGCACCCAGAGTCTAGCAAGACCAACACTTTCCCTTGGGTTCCAGAAGCAAGTACCCTTAATTTCACTGGGATAGTCATGGGGCCCCTCTTTGGACTTACCAGAGGATCGTCATCAGAGTCAGATTCACTCTCGCCAGAAGAGGTTGGAGTTCTCAGCTCCTCTCCCTTTGGAGGGGCGAATTCTACAACCTCCTCCATTTTCAGTGCAGTTTTGCGTGGATTGGCTGTGGTTTTTTCCACTTTTTTTCCTCCCGCCAACACCCCCTTTGGCTCCAACTTAGCATGGCAATCTGCAGCCCGGTGACCTTCCTTCCCACATTAGAAGCATGCTGTGGTTTGGGGTTTCACTGTCAATCCTCCCTTTTGAGGCTGTCAAGGGTTGGTGGTAGAGAGCTTGCTCCAACCGAGGCCACCCCTGCATCTGTTTTGGGTCAGATCGATTTCCACCTCCACTGCTAACATGTACCAGAGTTGCAGATCACTCGGGTCTTTTCTGGAGATGCAGCTTTGATAAACATCTTCATTCAGCCCATCTTTGAACACTTCTA